AAAAAAAAAAAAAAAAAAAAAAAAAAAAAAGAAAAAATAACGAAACAAATCAAAGTAAATTAAGTTTACTTGCGGCTTGATTGATATACGTTAGTTGGAAAATTACAGCAGTAAAGGTTACTAGCCCAAAAAACAGTGAAGCGATTGCAAAGTTTTTGGTAGGTCTAATCAGTTGATCTATGCAGTGATAAAGCCGCTTAATCTATTAGATTTTTAAATCATTCTGAAATCAACCCTTAAACATCTTCCGGGTAAACTATTTCAATATTGCAAAAACCCTTCGTTCTTCTGTTCTGTTTTGTTTAAGTTTCCATAGAAATAAAGTGGAGTAAAATTTTTGTTTCTAATTCGAGATTCATGAATGAACTAATAAGTGATATTATTTTACTTTTATTTTTTCCCTTCTTTAACTGATCCCATTAATATTGACTGCAAAAAAAGTTGTGTGATTGTAAGTTGTCTAATACATTTTCAGCACTGCAAATTCACTGATCTGCCTTGAACTATTTGCTTCTCTATTTCTTTCCTGTAGATAAACACGAGTTCTTGACAATTTCAGTAAATTCAATTTATACATCCTTCGTCTTCTTTTTGCAAATTTGCTGTTGCTGTTTCCTTTAGTGCTGTGATGGTAAAGTGCCAAAAGTGGCAACCAAAACCAGAAATCCGCAAACTGTGTTAAAGTTAAATAACCCAACTGTAACTTCTATTCCTAATTATATTTGAAAAATTATTGGAGAAAAACAACTCCCCTCTCAATAGAGCGCTGAATATAAATCACAAATTTCAACCTTCAGCCATAAATATTGGTTCTCATCGACTTCTACACATACCTCTTACCTAGCAACGCTGAACAATTTGAATAAACGAAAAAAGTCACAAAACTGGTGTGTTCCAAAACAATAAAAACAGTGTAATAGTTGATAGGTTTAAGTGAAAATTGGTTTTCTTTTTAAAAGAGGAGGAGGAGCAGGAAGGAAGGAGAGTTTCCCAAGAACGTTGCACTTACGTCTTGCAAAACTTGTATGCTCTTAGAAAGAAAAAAAAATCAGACACAAAATTAACATCGACTTCCTCAGTCGGACCAATTAACAAGAAACAGCGCCAACTGTAGCCAACAACGCTTAGTTCTCCGACAGCTCTGTTAATTTGACCTGTCTATTATACAAAAAATTCTCAACACTACTCAGCACAACTACAAACCGTAAATAACAATTACTGCACTTTGCTGTGTACTACTCTAACTGTATACAATGCTCTTTCAATACTCTACCAACCTCGTAATTTTCTGACAACCAAAATTACCCTTTAAATTGAACCTTCAAAAAGGAAGACATTTGCCTTTACATTGCTTCACCTTACACTAATACTCCAAATTTCGTTTCTGTCGTCATCAACATACCAAATATGGGAACCCACAACAAATTTTAGAAAGATGATTCGTTTAACTGTGAAAGAGGAGCAGAGAAACAAAAATGGCAACATGCACTCCCCCAACACTAATGCTTAACACTAAACCATAGTTCCGCACCCACAACACTTACAGCTGGAGAGGGAAAGAAGAACACGATGTACATAACCAAGTTTTACTCAAACAAAGTCACACTTATCACACGATCCACAAATCTTTCATGTGTAACGCTCACAGAAAGCAATAACTACGAAGACCTGCTCGCAGGTTATCCGAATAAGTAAAATCAGTTTCAAATTCGATAACGAATATCCACTTACAAATAACGAACAACCCACTAAAATTAGTAACAAATCTTTCTGGAAATAAAAAATGAGAAATTTACACACTATTAACCAACCGCAAGATCTAAGATTTCATCCAGATAACGGTTAATCAGCTACATGTGCGCTGGTGTAACTGAAAAGGTTAGAAACTTTTCTGGCAGTTAAAAACTTTTAGTTGTCCAAAGATCTTAACACATATACTACAACAAATTTTCCTTCTCAGGTAATCGTAAGTACTAAAAAACGACATATGTACAACCAGCAAAAAGCTGCTCATTTTTCCTGCAAAAAAGCAGAGGCATTTTTTAACTAATAAGCAAAAAACTTCAACTTAGTGCAACTGAAAAAAAGAAAAAAGAGAAGAGATATATTGATAAGTCTTTGACAAAAAAAAGAACTTACAACAGAAAAAGAGGCTAATTTAAATGATAAAAAGACCTCATATACTGCCGTAGAAAATAAGAGAATAATGACTAAATTGTTCTTTACCGATTTTCTATGAGGCGAAAACCAAAATATTGCTAGTAGACACTATAAACAACACAAAACCCATCTTTCAACTTCCAAAGATCACTTATCCTACTTGTGTTCAACAAACAATAAACATTTACATAAAAGGTCTGTTGACAAAACCTTCTGTTGAATCTAGGCACATTCTAAGGTGGTGGAGTACAAGGAGTACAAGGTGGAGCATCAGGAGTATCGTCCAACTTCAATATGTTGATCGGCTGAGAAACAGCCATAGAAGTCAGAACATTTGATGTAGACCAATCCTTAAAAAATGCGATTCTTAAAGATTGTTAGAAGACTCCATTGAAAAAACTATATAAATCTCTCAGCCTAAGGTAGAAAAATGCAAGAGAACGCGCTAATAAGCAGTTCTTAAGGTGCTAGAAGCCTAAAACCGACTCCTTACTGACCTGTGGTAAACGATTAACAGTAGCAAAAATTACTTCGTTGGCACTAGGCGTTGAACTATCACTTATGCTTTCGTTGGCCTCGCACATGTCGTTCGGCTCTTCCTGCCCCTGTAAAATTACGGTTAAAATGTATATAACAAGATCCATGTCTAAAATTTGCAAACTACCTTGTTCCTACCATTAGGACTACATGGCGTTTAATTGAAAAGTGAAATAGAAACGTTTTCCTGTTAGCAATCAACAACGATGCATTACTTACTCAGAAAGTGAAAAAATGATAATTTGAAAGCACAGAACAGTAAAAAGAGAAGAATTACTTACTTCATTATTGTTTTCAGTTGAAGCTCCAAAATGTATACTCCTAGAAAAAGGGTTGACATTATTATTTGGATTTGAAGCACAACCAATTGGAGTACTAGCTAGTTGCTGTGTAATGTCCAAGATCCCCCAGTCATCAACTGTGACAATGCACCATATCGATTCTAAAATTATCATTAGGTAATACAAATCCAGACAGAATTGCTTAGCCTTTAAACAGCTAAAGAAACGTTTAGCTAATTTCAAGAACTTAGGCTATTAAGTTACAACTGCAAACTAAAAAATACTGTAATAGCTGCGGTGATGAAAGACTTTTTTAAAAATAGTAAACTTTTTAAAAGCAAATCATTAACTCATTTCGTAACTGGTTCTACGTAGGAGTTTTAGAAGGACGAATAAAAGATGAAACGCAAAAACTTTTACGGCGATATAAATTTTGAATTTATTTAGTTGTTTTCCTTTTTAAATAAATTCGAAATTGATATTCTACAAGACACGGCGCCGTCTTTACTCAAATGAAAAGAAATAAACCTTTCAAAACGCTCATGAAACACGATAGAATAAAGCGCATACTGTCCAGATTATCTTAAAGCTACCAGTTAGTGCTGTTGAACAGCTAAGAAAATAAGCGTAAAAAATAACAGTAATTCGAAGTCGTATATAAAATAAGGAACAAATTAAACCTTATCATTAAACCCCTTCAATGTTTTTATAATATAACCAAAAGAAGTATAAAACATAAGTAGAAAAAACAACAAGTATTACCTCCAAAAGGGATTCCAAGACTGGTATTCAGCTGCCACCTGCTCTGATAAATTCCTTTTGTTGCTGGACTGACCATTTCTACACTTATGTTACCCTCCTCTTCAGGACCCAGTGGCTGCACCCAAGACTTCAATACGTTCGTAAGTTTATCGCCTGAATTTGAAGAGCAAAAAAACTAAAAATCAAGAAGACAAAAGTTGAGAAAAGGAGTAGCTTCGAAAGTTTTATTTCAGTAGATGGAATAATTAGCAGGAATAACCACCTTCCATGAAACCAATATAAGTCCCTGGTGGCCATGATTCAGGACCGTTATTTCTGACCCTCCAAGTTTTGACAAAGTGCGTAGAAGGAGGAACACTTTCACCCTGCAAATGTAGAATTAGGAAAGCCACTTCTAGTCAATGCGAAAAAATTTCACTTGCAAATAAAAAATGGAATGAAGATTTGTGCTGAAAATTTAAAAACTACAGTTCAGCTTAAAAATAAATCCAGAATACATTAAGAAAATGTGTTTTCACGACACTCTTTGATGCCTCAAGCAGTAACTTTGAGTAAAAAGAATGTAAAAGATCTAAACATTGAAAAAACAATCTAAAAACGATCTTTGAAACGCAACTTGAGACTTTTAGTTTGAAAGGAATACAGAGCGAAATAAAAATTATTAAAAATAATAAAGTTTAAGAAGATAGATCTTGTACTATTTTATTCTTGCCACAAAAAAATACCATCTATTTGCAGTAAAATAACGTCTGAATCAAGAAAAATACAAAACTAAATCAATCTCAGGTAAGTACTGCAAATAGAAATTCACCAACAAACAAGAAAATACAAATCAACAACTTTTCTGCAATACTCCAAAGTTCCAAAAACATTACTTCTCCAATCGTTATGTCTTGTACAAACTGCATTGATGGCAGTACTGTTGCATACTCCGGAGGCGGTAATCCAACACTATTTACGGTCCCGTAGTCGTAATACGCACCAAGTGCTGCTTGTACATTCCTTAAAAATAAAAAGGTATTTCAGATTTACACGAGCTATAGCAGAAGGTGGCGGAAAAAACCAGGAAACGTTCATACCAGTTGGTCATATCCAAAAAAAATGCACATGTGTGAGGGGATAAAACATGATCTTCCCCCAGAATTTGTTGGAATTGCCTGATTAAAGTATCTCGATCGCTTGTCGCCATGCGAGAAAACTCCTGCGTCAAAGTTCCTGCCGGATCATCCATCCCGATGTCGGATGGGAAAAAAGATGCGTAATTCAATTCGATGTTCTACTTTGTATACAAAAACCTACGATTAAACTTGTCATAAAATTAAACAACCTGAGTAGCTACGAACAAACAAGGTGCGAAAAAAACAAGAGCACATAATCGACCCGCTAAAAGCAAACTGAATTTAAGGTACAGCCTTCATAAAGATAAAAAATAAGAGAAGCTAAATTCAAGAACGCAGCCTAAACCAAGCTTGAAAAAGGCCACATCTCAAGTTTCCTAAGCCATTTTTCCCAAAGGAAAATATTAATCAAGAATACAGTAAAGCATATACAAAGCTATTCAGAACCCTTGACTACTGTCACTTTTTCACATGCTGAAATAACTGAGCACAAAACAAAGACTTTAAACCAATGAACATAACAAAGGGTAATGCTTCACTAAGGAGTCAAAGTAACAGTTTATAAAAACCAAACTTCACTCATCACTAGAAAGAAATTTCCTATCCTAAAATACGTCTTCATCAAGCGCAAAAAAACAAGAGGAAAAACATGTTGTTGTTAAAGCTTTCTCAGTATTCCACAAATCACAACTACGATCTTTAAGAGAAGATTGTGGTCCAACGATAAAATATAAAACAGCACTGTTGCTTTCGATTAAAAAACAAAACAAAACAAAACAAAGAACGTTGCGTTGAAAAAATATATAAGAAAGTTTTTCGTCAGAATTCACAGATTAATATAAAACGAACGAAAGAAACGCATAAAACTGAAGACGATGAGAAACTAGGGGATTCTAGTAACTGATTAGAAAATATTAATATCGAAAAGAAAACTTTTTTTTTGAAAAGATCATGGCAAAAGTTGTAAGGCTCCAAAAGAACAGTATTTTTATGTAAAATGTGATTAAACAAAGTAGTGAAAAATGGAACACTCCAAGTCAACCTTTTGAAGTATGATAAGAAGATCATTTGATGATGATTATAACAGTGCTGGTAGATAAATTGTCATTAATACGGAAATTGGCGCTACGTTCCATATAAATGTAGCAATATAAAAACGTAAATTTTCTGAAAAAAATAATGATCTTGCGGCATACTAAGTGAGAAATTTATCAGCACAACTGTTTATTTATTACTAGGAGTTTTGACCAGAGTCTAAAATACATTTGACAAACCTAACTTCAGCAATGTTTGTGCACAGCTGATCTTGAACATATCCAGTGATCTATGAAACATAACTGATACAAGTACCCCGGCAACACAGTGCCTATTTAAATGACAGTGTAGCATTTGCTTAAAGAACTTCAGTAACAATTTAACACCATCAAATGTCGACGATCATTTCCTAATTAATAAGCGGAAAGTAAAAAAACAGCAAACAATTTACTGATCACACAGATGTGTATATATATGTATATGCGTTAAAGTATCAAAAGGTTATTAAGAAGCTTGGCAATGCGCCATATTTTCCAAAACGTGATAATTTGCTGTAAGACTTAGTTGTCTAAAACAGCTTTATAGCTACGCCGCAAAATTAGTGGCGTCATGAAGCGTGACAAGCAGGTTTTAGTGTTTTATTGCTTGTCGGTATAACATTTCAATACTGGCATAAAAAATCCCAAAAAGATTTTTGATCTTTACTTTGTTTACAAATATTAACAACAGCTTTGGAAATGTATGGTTTCCTTTTTCTTTTTTGGAAATGTTCTTTTTTTTTTTACTTTTATGATTTTATTAAGCTTAGTTGGCACTTTTTTGGAATTAGTGCAGAGAGAGTTTTAAAACCGGGCAAGATCATATTTAATTTTTTTGGGGTTTATAGATATCACTATTTTTTTAAAAGTGAACTATCTTAGTTTTAGTCTGGTCTTGAGCTGTAATACATCTTTAAATAGTTTGACACTTTCTAGTGCATGTTTGTTAAACAGTATGTAGACTGCTTTCAACCATCAAATTATTGAAAATTTTGAAAACCAGAAAGTCTGTGGCGTACAGCATACAATTTTTGCTTATATATTTTCTAACTGACCAGACTATGATGTAAACTGATAATAATGAATAACATTCAAATTGTTCTGGTTTCTTTTTTTTCTTTTAATAATTTAAAAGAAGCTTTTCGAAGAAAAAAAAAGCTGAGGAACTAACTGTTAAGATTATATCTAAAATGTGTTAAAACCTGACAGTACAGTAAATTTTAAGGAATTAAGAGTTTTAAATAAAGGAGTGAAGTTGCAGGGGTTGTCGTAAAAATTTTACTTATTGAACTGATAAGTGACACAAAAGAAGCTTGTTAAAATAGGAAGTTGTGACAGCTAGCTAAACGTATTAAATTTTTTACACATAAACATCCTACATACAGATGCTTAAAATTGGACAATTCTAAAATTTTAAGCAATTTTGACATT